GCTACGAAGATTAGCCCGATGGAAGCCATGCACGGCTGGCAGCCTCACCGTCTTCTCATCGAACAAGATTCCACTGAACTGTCCGACAGCGCCTGGGTGGACAAGTTGCAGCGGAAGTCTGCCCGCCTGCGCGATCACCTCGAAGTTGAGCTAGCACGGCTTGACTTCCTCGATGCTCCCGTGCCCGAGTGTCCATACCCCGTTGACACTGCCGTCCTTCTTCGGCGTCCGGAGCGGCATTCGAAGATTCTCACCCCCTTCGAATCTGGATGGCACGTAATCCGCATCATCTCCCCGTCGACAGTCCGTATTGCCACAGCTGATGGTCGCTCCAAGCTGGTGAACGTGGATTTGCTGAAGAGAGATCCACAGGCTCCTGATGCGCATGGCCCTGCCGACGCGCCGGCGGCAGTGGAGGCTGACGACCGGGACCCCGTTGTCCAGCTCGTGTTGCAGACGCCCCCCGTACATGATGCCATGCCTGACACGCCCGTCCATGGCTATGGTTTGCGCGACCGTTCCAGTCTGCAGGTCCCTGGTCGGTTCCGTACGTAACTCACACCGTTGTGTTCATTTACTGCAGTTTCTTGCTGGTTATTCTGGCCTTTCCCGCATCCATATGACATGCCTTGTAGAGTCCTATTACCACTGTGTGTGTGTCTCTAGTTTTGGTGCAAAATCTGTTTTGTCCAATGCCGCTCGCTCGTTAGTCTCCGTTTCCTCTTCCATGTACTGCATGTGTCATTCTGGACTTTTTCGTGTGACGGTACATTGCACCATATGCTTTGTGGCTGCTTGTGCCGCATCTATTCTGGTTGCGTGGGTATTCTCTTTTCTATTCGGTTCCGGTATGGTTGCCCTTCACTTGCTGTTTGCCATCTTTTAGGTATATCCGTGTGTATGGTCCATCTGCGAGACCGTTGTCTTCTTTCCCGCATTTTGTGTCCCTTCTTTCCACTTTTGTCCCCTTGGAATGTTTCTTTGCCCGTTCACTTTGGTGATACAATTTCCCTGTTACCAGGCGGAGGAGTGTGATAGAGTGGTCCCATGGTAACAGGACTTGGCCAAGCATGCGCATGCTCCAAAGTTGTTGCGCAATGATGTAGTGCCTGTTGTTGTTTTGAGCCCGATTTTGATGGCGGCTGGTATGTAGTCTTTTCCTTTTTGTACTTCCCGTTTCATGTTTGTTCAGTCCTAATAATTATAATATTCCCGTCCTATCCGGTTGTGTTGCTGTGGAGTCCGGGAGGAGAGTTTTCAGTCACATGCTGCTGAGGGAGGGAGCGGTGTTCGAGCCGACAAAAGGGTTACACACCCGGACGTCAAAGAATGTCCTCTCGAAACGGTCGCCCCACACCCCACTGGCAGTAACATCCAGACCAGCGCCAACCTCAGTGACTGCAGTGCGATGCCTCATCCGCTCCCCGGAAAGTGGCTGGAGAGATGGCTCCACACTCACGTCGTGCGCGACGCATGAAAGCAGCGAGGCTCTGATATCTCGCAGCTCATTATTCCGGAGTGACGTATACCCTCCAATAGGGCACAGCAGGTCATGCGCGGTGCTGAATGCTTGACCACAGACGCCGGCGGACGGAAGCATTGGAGGGATTCAGCCATAGTGGACATTCATTTTCTGCATTTTTGTGGAGCTTCACGAGATGCCCGAATGCGCTCTATTTCACGTAACTTTTCAATATTTCTCCGAGGACATTCCGGCTCTGCATGACTAATTGGCTCACACAATGTGAGAGAGGGGTGATAGCCAACCACGGCAAGAAAAGGAGGAAGAAAAAAAAGATAAGGGTGTGTTTGGTTGGTGCGATCTAGAACAGGATCGAACAGCTGGTGCACATGGAGCAGTCTCATGCCAACCGAACGGTACACCAGAAACAGAGCACATTTTTATGAAAAGTGTGCCAAACTTGGTGCATTCTTCACAAAAAGAATCACAATATGTGCGGGTGCCCATGGTCACCTTGTCCGGTACACCGAGTGCATGCCAAGTCCAGCCCAAAAGCGTATGCACGTGATCATTTGGGACCAAAGTCGATGTTCCCGCCTGGTTTCACTGTGAAAAAGTGAAACTGCTCGGTCTGGCAGAACATGTTCTGGCCGACTCAGAACAGGTGCAGTCCCAGCCAAACATGCTGTTCTGGTGAATCCTGTTCTAGGTCGTACCAACCAAACACCCTCTAAGACTCGGATGGAGAGCCAAGGATTGAAATGAAAAAAGAGAAGGGCCAACGGTTAGCAAGTTATGGTGAAAAAGGAGGACAATATGTTACGAGTTATGGCTAACTCCGGGTTTGCAAGTTGTTCGTTGTTTGTGTCCAACACTAACGAAATATAAGCGAGACGCCGGTGAGTCGTAACGTGCATCAATTAGCACAACACTGCCTGGTATGATAGTGACATTCAACCACCTGATGCTTAGCAGCATCATGTCTGGAATGCGCAAACTAACAGCCTTCCAACTTGGAAGGTTCTAAGTTATGAAATAACGTAAGCAAGAGTACATAACCCCCAAGAGTGTGCAACTCCAGCTATGGGGTCTTCAACGGCAGAACTTCACGTCACGTGATGAACACGTACACACTATTCACACCCTGTGCATGATAGCAAGAGTACATAAACCAGAGTGTGCAACTGTGCGTATCAGATCTGAAACAACGCAACAGCAGCTTCAGTGTGATCACACCAGCCCGAAACAGCGCGCACCGATTCACACTGGAGGCGCTGTACATTCGCAGTTTGAGGCCAGAACTGTGTCGACAAAAGAAGCACATCAAGGTGCTACGGCTGTTCAAGCTGCAACCGGACTGACAACTTTATCACGTGTTTGTTCTGGTACTGCATCCCCCTCATGTGTTGTTTCCCGCATTTTTCCACTGCTCCATACATTCTTATGGTAGTGTAGTGTGAACTTGAGGCGCGTAAGAATATTCTTGCTGATTCTCTACCCCCAGTATAAATTCTGGCTTCGTTTTCGTTCTTGCTCATTCCCATGTAACCACTGATGAAAATGGGTGAAAAGCTTTTGGTATTATGAAACTGACAACCTTGTTGTGTGTGTATATATATATATATATATACTCAATCTGCGGACAGCAGATATATATAATTTCCCATATGAGTTCCTATCAGTTGCTGTGAACACCTTGAGTGGAGTGCGCTTGCTCGAGCGTTGAACCGGGTTCTTAATCCACCATACCCAGTTCGCAAGGCTGGGCGGGGTTGTGAGCAGGCTTTCATTTCATCTTTTCTTATTATTTCTGCTGTTCATCTCATTACAAAAATTCTGCGCATAAAATCTAGACTGACAACCTGCTAGTCCGCAGTCCAGGGTGCAAAATTATGACTTTTCGTTCGCCATGCAAGGGCACCAAGGTTTGACATGACCAAATGAAAGACCAAGAGCAGGGCTTTCTAGGCATGTGTCTCTTGATTAGCTGTGTTGGGGCTTTGTTGACCAAATCGCCGAAATTGTTTTTCCTCGCGTTGCCATGGCAACTGAATCATGAATTTGAATTTTGAGGCTATTGCAAGCATTATAGCGATGTTTGTTGACTGGATTCATGACACAAAGGTTGAGGAGAGCCAGCATACGAAAAATTACTGAATTTGGATGAGGTATAGGCATGTAGAGAGGAGAAATAGTACTGCACAGTATGCCACTATATGCGACACAATACGGTCATGTAATACTAGTAGGTACCTTGCATTGTGCACCTACAAACACACTAGCGCCTAAGCGATGAGTTGAGAGCAATAAAACTAACAATTCTATGTTCTACAATTACATATGCTGAGTAGATGTAACAAAAAACCTGATGAGACGAGTCCCAAACAACTAATTAGAAAGATGAACAGAGGGAATGAAACTAGTTCAACTCTTCAGCATTGCAAGTAGCTGCCATGCGTTAAGGTAAACAGTTGAGCCTGATAGCTTACTCATCCACTGAGTCCACTAACGGCGCATCTTCGTTTTCACATGCCGCGAGTTCCTCCATACAGTTTGTACAGGCCACTGGGGAATTGTGGCGACATCCGCATGCATCCGTGCACGGCAATGCATGACGTCGGCACGAGCAGCTTCCTCCACTGCAACCAGTCTTGCACCCACATCGCAGAAACTCTAGAATAGAGCGAGGTGCAGGTGGCAGGTTGGTCCAATCTATAGTCAGACATCCATCGCTCCTGAGTTGCCATCCTTAGGAAATAAGAGTAACATGAAAAGTAAAATTTCATTCATCTTACTTGACTGCCGGACTTGATTCCATGGAAAATCTAGAAACCTAAAAGTACCTAGCATGCATCATTAGCTTATCCAAACACAATCCAAATAGTGACTGAAAGCATGCGACTCTGAGCTCATGCAGGTCATCTTAATATGATGTAGAGTCTCACCTTGACCATCCTGGTGTGCTGACGGAATGTCCACGGGACTAGCAACAAGGCACCGCCTCCATACACTAGCTATTGTGAGAAAAGCCGGTCAATGGCACAAAAGAGTGAAGTCAACCATAACACAGTCAGTCTTCATTGCCTTCAGACAACCATGAGAGGCATACCGATGCACAATAAAAACGCACCACGTGGCGCTCCACGTGTGCGAGATTTCAAATTTGACATCTTTGAACTTTTGAGCAGGTATGACGCGTTCTCAAACTCACGCTGGGCGAAACTTGTGCATGGAACTGCCCCGAAGAAATTCGCCCCTATCGAGAGAACGCCCCAGACCCAGAAGCAGTTATCGACTTTTTTGGGCACCCCAAGGGGTCCTCTTTCAGGCCCCCACATCGAACCTTGGTGCCCGTCGAGGCGAACGGAATTTTTTTAGAGACACATTTTGAGCACTTGGACTGCGGACTATGCTTGTTAAATCATGCACCTGCTTTCAGGACTTACCTGTCTTTATAAATGTAACTTACTCTCTCTTTCTCTCTCTCTCTCTCTCTCTCTCTCTTTCTCTCTCTCTTTTGCTGTTATGGAATGTGCAGCTACTTTCCATTATCTTGGACCAATAATGAAGCCGCTGGTCAATCAGGTGCAAGGTGGCATTGAACCAGTAATTGTCTTCAGGTCTGAGCAGGCTCCAAATGGGTGTTTTCTAGGGTTTTTTGATGTTGTTGTTGTTGTTGCTGTTGTTGTTGCTGTTGTTGTTGCTGTTGCTGTTGTTGTCGCTGCTGTTGTTGTTGTTGTTGTTGTTGTCGTCGTCGTCGTCTTCCTGGGCGGCTTGATCTGTGCTCTCATTCTTATAGTCCTTATGCACATTACATCATCTCGCACAGATGTACGACGCATTCCCCCGGTAGCTGTGTGCATGCACGGTTGTACAGATGTACGCATTCCCCCGGTAGGTGTGTGCATGCACGGTTGGCTGTTCATTCCCCCGGTAGGTGTGTGCATGCACGGTTGCCTGTTCATTGTGTGCTATACATGAAGATGCGCATTTGACCAATTTAGCCCAATACTTAGTGGCAAGAGTACATAACCCCCCAGAGTGTGCAACTCCACTATGGGTGCTGTCCCGACAGAATTTCAAGTTGACGTCATTTTGATGATGCAATGCTCACTGTACACGGATTATCAGACGAATCCGGAACCTGTGGTTGACCGAAGCCGATCGATCCTGTACAAATTATTGCAAAGAAAAACGTGTGATGCGTTGACACCCGTACACATGTTGTAAATCACTGGTGCAAGGAGCATTGCGTCATAAATAATGACGTCAACTTGAAATTCTGTCGGGACAGCAGGGTATGTGGGAGTTGCACACTCTGGGGGGGGGGGGGGGTTATGTACTCTTGTTAGTGGCAGACAGTCGCTTTTCCAGCTACATCAGTTTGGATAGAGCTAATGACTAGCTAGATCTTTGTCGGGAAAAAGTTGTTGCATGAAATGCCTGAAGGGAACGTTTCGTAATCGAAAATACAGAAAACACAACAGGGTCCTGTACATTCAACATCGAACTGGGTCTACGGGATTCTACGGTTTTTCTTACGTGACGTCAATGTGCATATGGCTTCTTGTTGTCATGGGTTTTGACTTTGCCGACGGGTCTCTCGTTTTCGCTTGTACACCGGACACGGAGCGCTTAGAAAGTGATATTGTCGTGACAACTGTTTCAGGGAGAAGATGATGAATGCATGCAAACGCAGGACACATCGCAAAGCAATTGGCAACATGGGCGAGGAGGGAAATGAAAAAGCTCGAAACAGCACTTGCATATAAGTTGACAGTCTAGAACGAGTGGTTATAAACAACATAAATAAAGTTACGTTATGCGGGAGTCCGAACAGGCAGTGCGTAGACCAGGCAGAGCGGTGCAGAGACGATGGAAAAGGAGCATCGTCCAAACTGCATGTCGTGAGTGAAACAGCTTTTTGAAATGTGCTTCCGTGTGTGTATGTGTGTGTGTATGTGTGTGTGTGTTTGTGTTTATCTGGCAGAACTACAGGGACACCTGGCAGCAAGATAACTGTGGAAGTTACATCGGCGTTGACCAGACTAACACTTAGGAGGAAAACACTAACTGCAGAGTAGGTTTTTTCCTCCATATCTATGTGTAGTCTGTAACTGCCAATCGGCCGTTTCTGTGTGGACATTTACTAGTAGCTACGATTCATAGCAGCAGCAGTGTAGGGATGTTTAGCGAACCGTAGTGTCAGAGACGTACAGTGGTTTGGGCGAACCACGGTGGTGTTGTGGGAGAGCGTTGCCATCGGATGACTGAGCATATTGATATTGGGAAATGCAGCCTGGGACACTTGACACATCAATTCAATTATTAGATTGATGTCCTGGTTGATTTAAGATAGACTTAATGACATAATGGCCAGACCACCCATCTGACATGCTACAGATCCACAGGCACATGGTTGAAGTTGAAGAACAGTGGCGGTATTTTTCCATTAGTGTTTGTGCGTGCCTGATTAGGTGTGCTGGTGGTGTGTGGGGGGGGGGGGGGGATGGGGTTGTTTAGTGGGTAGGTGGGCTGGTGGTGTGGGGGGGGGGGGAGAATGGGGTTGTTTAGTGGGTAGGTGGGCTGGTGATGGGGGGGGGGGAGGATGGGGTTGTTTAGTGGGCTGGTGGGCTGGTGGGGGGGGGGGGGGGGATGGGGTTGTTTAGTGGGTAGGTGGGCTGGTGGGGGGGGGGGGGGGGGGAATGGGGTTGTTTAGTGGGAAGGTGGGCTGGTGGGGGGGGGGGGGGGGAATGGGGTTGTTTAGTGGGTAGGTGGGCTGGTGGTTAGGTGAGTGTGTGTGAGTGTGTGTGTGGGGGGGGGGGTACATGTATGTGTGCATGCATCTCAACTGTGTGTGTACCGTATTTTCCGGAGTATATTGCGCACTTAAGATGTGCTATTTTAGGCCCTAAATCGCAGGTGCGCACTATGCTCCGAATATGAAATGCATGTACTTCAATGAAGATTGAAGTGCACACCCCAATGAAGATTGGGGGTGCGCGTTATACAAAGGTGGGCACTATACTCCGAAAAATACGGTACATGTGTTTGTTTCTGTGTGTTTGTTTCCGTGTATTTGTTTTGGTTCAGTTCAACTGGTGTCTACACTGTGTCCTCTCTGGTGTCGCTTAACGACACTACACTCCAGACATCTGCATCCTATCTAAGCATCCAAGGTTCGGGTAAACTAACATACCTGACCACTCGCCTGCCACAGCTCTATGGTTAGTCGCTACTTAGTGCGTACATCTCCTGCTGCTGTGACTTTCTTTTACGACTTTGTTATGTCCCCTTGCGGACTAACATTCCATTACACTCATGCATTCTCACTGACACACACAAACAGTTACACTAGCTTTTGGAAGACATTCCTCTTGGTCAAGTAAAGTAACAACAACAACCATATGCGAGCATGCGCAATACAGTAACAAACGGTGTAGTAGATATATAATGACTAACTTGCATACACAACAACTGCCCCCTTTCAAGAATGTTCCAGGGAATATTCTACCACAATTAAATACCTCAAAATCGTTGAAGCAACACATAAAATAAGTTCATCAATCCACCGTACGTGAATTCTTAAACTTTGACACAGCACTACAATAACATAATCTGACGCAGGAATCCGTCAGTCAATATTAGCAATACCAAGGATCTTGCACACTATTGTACATGGTAATAATTACTAGTTCGCTAAACAGTCCAGCAATGACATATCAGGGAACGGCTCAAAGCTGTTCAATCAGTCTATCCGGACGAACACTACGCCGAGACGAACGTCTAACAGTGGTTTCACAGGGAGTATTCTCAACCTGTGGTAAACCAACTTCAGGAGCAGACTGCTCACAAGGAGGATCCGCCTCAACTTGTACAGTAGCAGACTGTGGCGAGACGCTAGCCGGAAAATCACTGGACAGTGACGACTCTCCTACGTCTGACAGCACTGGTGACGGCGACGTCTGATCGATTGTATCCAACAGTGGTTCTGGCAGCGATGCACTCAAGCTTGCCGGAACTGACCGTAGACGCAACTGATCTCGGTGACGCTTCCACAACACATCACCCACTTGTACTTCATAGTTGTAGTCACTGAGGACACGCACAATTCGTCCCGGGACCCAACGATTACCTTTGCCGAAATTGAGCGCAAACACAGAGTCACTCTCTGTGAACGCTGGCTTGACGCGATTGCCGTCCTCATAAGCCTTTGCTTGTTGACGTACCTGCGAGGGACGCAGAGCACTGAGCCGCGTGCGTGGCTGGCGTCCAAACATCATCTCCGCAGGTGTTCTGCCGGCATGGTCGGGTGTCGTGCGGTACGTTAGCAGAAACCTGTCGAGCCGAGCTTGCAGTGGTTCGCTCGTTGCACCCATTTCCTTCAACTTCTGCTTAAACACACCCACATAGCGCTCAGCAAGTCCATTCGTAGCCGGATGGCCTGGAGCCGTCAGGGTGTGCACAATGTCGTTGGCACGGAGGAAAGCCTTGAATTCCTCGCTCGTGAATCGGGTTCCATTATCTGAAACAAGATGCTCCGGCAGACCAAACACAGAGAACACGTGCCGCAGAGCCGCAATAGTGGTTGCAGACGTGGCATTAGACATTGCAATTACATCCAGATACTTTGTGTATGCATCCACCACAACCAGGAACATCTTGCCCATGAATGGTCCTGCAAAGTCGATATGCACCCGTTTCCAAGGACCGTTTGGCCATGACCAGGTTCCCGACTTGGCAGGTGGACATTTCGCACTTTCTTGGCATTGAGCACATGCCTTGACCAACATTTCAATCTCTTGATCCACATTTGGCCACCATAAGTACCGTCGTGCCATTTGCTTGGTTTTGACCATGCCAAAGTGCTCCGTGTGCAAATCACGTAGCAATACCATTCTTAGTGATTTGGGTATGACAACTCGTTGTCCCCACAATAGGATACCATCTTCCGCAGACAGCTCATCCCTCTTATTGTGGTAAGACCGAAACGATTGGGGTACTGAGCTAGGCCAACCATTCACTACATAGTAGAGCACCTTAGATAGCTCAGGGTCACGAGCTGTTTCCGATTTCACTACGTCTGCTTTGATTATCGTATCTTCCTCCACTAGCAAGACACGAACCGTAACCATTTCCTCTGCAGACGGACTGATATTCTCACATGGTTGCCTAGACAGGAAATCCGCGTAGACATTTTCCTTGCCTGGCAAATACTTGATCTCATAATCATAGCCAGCTAGCATTAGTGCCCATTTCTTGATGCGAGCTGATGCAAGTGTAGGAACTGGTTCGTTGTTTCCCAGTAACTTCAATAGTGGTTGATGGTCGGTTTGAAGCGTGAAGTGGCGCCCTAGCAAGTATTTCTGGAACTTCGTAACACCGAAAACCACAGCTACGGCTTCCCGTTCGATTTGTGCATAACGCGATTCAGCCGGTGTCAATTTCCTTGACACGTAAGCAACCGGCAAAACATCACCATTCTTTTGCCTTTGCAATAGTACGGCACCTAGACCCATTGGAGAAGCGTCCACCTGGAGTGTGACTGGCTTCTTGACCTCGTAGTGTGCTAATAGCGTATGCTCACACATTGCATCTTTCAAGGCCTGGAATGCATCTTCCTCTGCCTTGCTCCATTGCCATTTCATTTCTTTCCTGAGCAGGTTGTACAGTGGTGCAGCAATCTCTGCGAACCGAGGTACAAATTTCCGTTGAAAATTTGCCGCACCCAGAAAAGAGTACAATTCATTCACGTTGTTAGGCGGCTTTGCGACTTTCAAGGCATTCACTCGATCAGGCGAGGGTGCGATTCCCTGCGCGGTTACCTGATGACCGAGGTACGTTAGCTTATCCGCCATGTAGCTGAACTTCTTAGGATTGAGCTTGAATCCTTTCTCATTTAGGCAAGATAGCACTTGATCCACATTTTTCTCATGGATCTCCTCATCACGACCAGTACACAACACATCGTCGATGTAGCCCCCGCATCCTGGCAAATCGCTAAGGGTTTCTTCCATTACCCGTTGGAAAATAGATACGGCGCTGTGAAAACCAAAAGGGAGTCGTTTGTACTGATACAACCCCTGCATGGTATTGATCGTGGTGTACTTCCGACATTCAGGTGCTATCTCTAGCTGGTGGTAGGCTTGCGACAAATCCAGCTTCGTGAATTTAGACCCCGGGCCTAATTTGTGCAATAGCTCCTCAAGAGTGGGTAGCGGGTATTGCTCGCATTTAGAATGCAGATTGATAGTGCCACTGTAGTCACCACAGATTCTCAACCCACCTCCTGATTTCTCTACCGTGACAGTGGGGGAGGCCCATTCTGAATGCGTGACTTTCTCGATTATACCATCTGCTTCCAATTTATTCAGAGCCTCAACATAGCTCTCCCGAATTGACAGTGGTACCGGCCTTGCCTTTCGGTAAACAGGGCTCTCATCAGACACATGCAATTTCACCTGCACGCCTTTCACCTTTCCCACTTCTGAGGTGTCGAACAACCCTGGGTATTTCTCAATGAATTTAGCGCCAGACTTTTCGACCTGGTGCACTTCGAAAATTGATTTCCAGGGGAGTTTGAACAAAGCCATTGCATCTCTGCCCAGAATAGATGGACGGTTTCCATTTGTAACCCTCACCAATAGTGTGTGCAATTGTGTGCCCATTCGGAACTCCATTTCCGCTTCCCCGAGACAATTAATCACATCTCCAGAGTAGGACACAAGGTTGATACTGGATTCCATCAGGTTACTCAGCACACCATTGCATTGCAAGAAATCTGCGCTGCTGAGAATCGTGACAGCACTTCCCGTATCAATCTCCATTTGGATAGTGGTACCCATTACATCTAATGACACAGTGTACGGTAGTCGCCCCATTGCATTTACACTATACATGGTGACATCGGGTTTACTAGCACATGGAACGAACTCACCAATTTCTTCCGCGATGTGATGGACGGTTTGTCCAGACTTCTTCTTGCGGCAAGCTCTCTCGATGTGACCCACCGTACCACACGCGTGACACTTCACACTCTTGAAGCGGCACTCTTCCGGTTTGTGACCAGCCTTGTCACACCGAAAACATTTCTTGTCGTGCGACTTGAAAGTTGGAGTTGGCTTGCTCGTCGACTGGCGCGAACGAACGGCGTGGACGGACTGCGCCGTCAATTGTTCCGACTCTCTCGATGCAGTTTCATAGGCTGATGCCATCGTCACAATGTCCGCCAAACTTGAGGTCTCCTTTGCTTTCGACAATATCTCCTTCGTAACACTCATCGACTTCAACCCACTGACAAACTGGTCTCGGAGTGCCCTGTCCAAATACGCCTGAAACTTACAGTCCATGGCTGCTTGCTTTAGTCTAGCTGCATACTGTGTTGCTGACTCTCCATCCTTTTGACAAATCCTCTGGAATCTATGAGTCGCCGCCAACACACTGACATTAGGCTTGAAGTGCTCTGAAAGCAATTCTCCGAGTTCCTCAAACGTTTTCTGCGCTGGTTTGTCCGGCAGGCAAAGACTCTTCAGAATCGAGTAGTTCTCAGCAGAGAGTTGACTGATCAGGACAGCTGCCTTTTGCGTGTCTGCCGCTCTCTCCTGGTCCGCGGTTGCCCCAGCTGCGACTTGTCCAATACTGTTGGCGATAAAATAAAACGTGAGTCTCTCTACATACTCACGAAAATCACCTTTTTCAAATATTTCAAGCTTCGATCGCGACATCTTCGTCTTTTATCTTCGTCGCCAAATTGTTATGTCCCCTTGCGGACTAACATTCCATTACACTCATGCATTCTCACTGACACACACAAACAGTTACACTAGCTTTTGGAAGACATTCCTCTTGGTCAAGTAAAGTAACAACAACAACCATATGCGAGCATGCGCAATACAGTAACAAACGGTGTAGTAGATATATAATGACTAACTTGCATACACAACAGACTTGTCACCTTAAAACTACCCACTCTTGTACGGATGCCTGTATCCCAGGCAATGATGACAGCAAACATGCCGTCATGCTGGGCTTCTGTTACCATGGTTACCAGGACTTGTGATCAGTGCACCATGTGCCAGTCACAACTTTCACAAGGTAGTCATCGGCTTTTTAAGTTGACACTTCATCTTAAAATTCGTGAATTTTCAGAGGGGCTCAGCTTCACCTACAATGCAGGAAGTCCTACTGAAAAATTCCTGTCACAACAGGAGAAACTACTTCAAATTACAAGTAGTATGGTACGACGCCTGCAGCTGTTGAAAACAGCATGCAATCATTGGCGATTTACAACCCAGGCCATAGTAGCTGGTTGTATACTGAACCAGACAAAGACAGTACAGATACAGAATGGAGAGCACATGCTGCAGTGTGTGTGTGTGTCCTCTGCATTACCTGTAGTAACCTACCTAGGCCACTGTCATTCCATGTCTCTGCTCTCTGCTCTCTCTCTCCCTGCTCTCTGTCTCTCTGTCTCTCTGTCTCTCTGTCTCTGCTCTGCTCTCTCTCTCTCTCTCTCTCTCTCTCTCTCTCTCTCTCTCTCTCTCTCTCTCTCTCTCTCTCTCTCTCTCTCTCTCTCTCTCTCTCTCTCTCTCTCTCTCTCTCTCTCTCTCTCTCTCTCTCTCTCTCTCTCTCTCTCTCTCTCTCTTCTCCTACCTCGATGCGCAAACTCTGCCATTCTTTTTATTGGCAGTCGCAAACGCTTTGGCTTACGCCTCCACTACCTTCCTACGGTGTGGAAAAAGTGCCAGTCCATCAAATGGCACATTCTTCGATCGAGTGGGGACGCGCGCATGAGGGCGCTGTACACTCTGCGTCGGAGTAAGGATGCGAAGCTGACAAAGCGATATGCGGCGACAATAGAGCTGGAGTGTGCAGAGGCATCAGTAGGTTCAGGGACTCTCCGTCCACCGTCATCTTCAAGTCATCGTGCAGGGTTGGGTGCTCGTGCTCCGAAGCAGCATTCCAAACCCCCGAGGAAGGATCTCCTTCAAACATTTGAGGAGATCAACGCGCAGGAGCAGATTTTGAGGCTGAAGACTCTTCAGGTGCAAGGCAAGTGGTTGGAGTGGACATCGGTGATGTGGCAGGACCTCTCGTGGAAATCCCTTTTGTACGGTGGTACTGGTAAGGATTTGAAATTTCTTCTCGCATCAACCCTCGACGTGCTACCTTCTCCGACGAACCTACGCCGTTGGGGAAACGCCGTAGTGGATCCGTACTGTAAATTGTGCCGTGCCTGGGCCTGTACTACGCGCCACGTGCTTGGCGCTTGTCGCGTAGCGCTGGACCAGGGACGTTACACCTGGAGGCACGACAACGTTCTCGGGGTCATCGTCAGGAACATGCGTGAGGAGATTCGAATCCGCACTGCTGCAAACACCGTACAAACCGAAAATTCAAATGAGCTTGACTTCATCTCGTTTTGCAAGGCGGGAGAGAAGCCAGTTCGCGTTCAGCCCAGACGAAAGTTGGTTACGACTGATCTCCTGTCAGCGGCCTCAGACTGGAAACTTCTTGTCGACTCAGTTAGTGCAAAGATTTCTTTCCCTAGCTGTGTTGCACTTACCACCCTAAGACCAGATATAGTTCTGTACTCTACGAGTCGTAGGATTGTATTCTGGATGGAGTTGACAGTTTGTGCTGAGGACAGATTCAGTGTCAGTAACTCGCGGAAGGACAGGCGGTATGCGGATCTGGCCGATCAATGCCGAGCAAACGGGTGGCAGGTCGTTTCTTTTTCGGTTGAGGTAGGTGTGCGTGGTTTCATCCCGGACTCTCTTCGGAGGGCTCTGAAAGCGCTTGGATTTTCTAATCGAAGAATAAAATTTATTTGTAATTTGTGCAGTAAGACGTCTCTGCGAAGCAGCTACATCATCTGGTTGCGGCGTCAACAAAAACACTGGTCGGAAGATCCACTTTTCTGAGGTACTGTATGTGGGGCTCCGTTTATTGAGGTGCGTTGAAATTTATTCTCTTTATCTTATTATTTCTTTTCTATAATTTCCCCATATGAGTTCCTATCAGTTGCTGTGAACACCTTGAGTGGAGAGCGCTTGCTCGAGCGTTGAACCGGGTTCTTAATCC